CGGGACGAGTTGGAGGCAGCATTGGGACACCACTATCGTACAAAACTGTCCCTGAGCTATGTGACCGGCAAAAGTGGCACGCTACTGCAGCTGCAAAACCCATTCGCTTCGCATGTGGAAACGACCATAATCCGAGGTTTCCTCTACTTAATACCATGCGCCATTTAACGATTTTGACGAATAATTTTGATGGACGAGTGCATCACCAAATTACCAATCATGACATAGTGAAAGTTTCTTACGCCTGAGCAGGCACGCTGCCCCAAATAGGGACGCAGCGAAAGCACTCACACGAACTCATCACCAAACTTACTCTGCTCTCTTTCAACGGTTCCAGCGATTTCACCACGTCAGCAACTTCATCATGGCTTTCAGTAAAAGAGTTGTGGCTTTGAATTGATGAGGAGGAAGATCCTGTAAAACAATTCCTCAGATAATGAGACATTAGAACTCAGTGTAAACTGTACCTTATTAGATGGAGGTAAGTATTGACTGGAAGGCCCAGGATGAATAGGATCGTGAGGAAGATGTATGAGACAGCCAAGAATGTCGCCCAGGCCCCACCCCCCCCCCGCCCCGCCCCACCCTCCTTAAAAATTTTTTGAGCTCACTTCAATTCAAATGTTAAAGTTATTAGTTAGTTAATGTTATTCCACAATCAGCTAGCTAGGCAAATCCCTTCTCTGAGTAAGGTAGACCACTTCGCAACCGCTTGGCACTTCGGCTCGATCGTTTGGAGCAGTTAGTTTTGAATGTACAGCGCTCGCTATCGACATACAGTTGATATCATGGCAATCAATCAAGGCGCTATCAGGAGAGGGTGAGTGAGCCTTCTTTGTTCGTTTTTGTTGAAGGTGGAGGGCACTTTCCATCATAACTGATATGGAGCGAAAGGTGATCTAAAGTGAAACTGGAGCTTAATATTGGTACGCGAGCAAGGAGGGCAGCAAACTCTTTTCTCGAGGACCAGTAAAACGAACTCGAACGCTCGGATGAGCCCTAGCTTGTTGTTGTTGACATCACCTTTCCCCGTCCTGAAATTATTTTAACTTTTTAATTGTGACTGTTACTCATCCTCACTTAACTCACATATGATACATTTATCACCGGAGATTAGCATTTTCGTTCTTCCCTGCAACAGGAAGGAGGTATGTTGAGCTGCGATCGCTCGTGTGCCCTTCCCCATCGTTGAAGGTTATAAAGCGCTTCAATCCGCTCTGTCGAAGCTTCCTCGGAAAGACTTCCGAAGTTGAGTGCTTATGTTGTGTCATTTCGTCACAAGTTATATTACCATTAAGAAGCTATACGTCGAGTCCCTTATTTCCAGTTGGTTCGTCGGAGTCAGGGCTTTGTCAAGAGGGATGGAGCGACCCCACCCATAGCGTTTTCCACCACTGGTTGTTTTCGCCCTGAATCGGTCTAATCTCATATTGGTAGAAAGGCAAGAGAAGGCTCACTCACCCTCTCCTTATAGCGCCTTGATTGATTGCCATGATATCAACTGTATGTCGATAGCGAGCGCTGTACATTCAAAACTAACTGCTCCAAACGATCGAGCCGAAGTGCCAAGCGGTTGCGAAGTGGTCTACCTTACTCAGAGAAGGGATTTGCCTAGCTAGCTGATTGTGGAATAACATTAACTAACTAATAACTTTAACATTTGAATTGAAGTGAGCTCAAAAAATTTTTTAAGGAGGGCGACATTCTTGGCTGTCTCATACATCTTCCTCACGATCCTATTCATCCTGGGCCTTCCAGTCAATACTTACCTCCATCTAATAAGGTACAGTTTACACTGAGTTCTAATGTCTCATTATCTGAGGAATTGTTTTACAGGATCTTCCTCTCATCAATTTCAAGCATAACTACTTTTATGAAAGTCATGATGAAGTTGCTGACGTGGTGAAATCACTGGAACCGTTGAAAGAGAGCAGAGTAAGTTTGGTGATGAGTTCGTGTGAGTGCTTTCGCTGCGTCCCTATTTGGGGCAGCGTGCCTGCTCAGGCGTAAGAAACTTTCACTATGTCATGGTTGGTAATTTGGTGATGCACTCGTCCATCAAAATTATTCGTCAAAATCGTTAAATGGCGCATGGTATTAAGTAGAGGAAACCTCGGATTATGGTCGTTTCCACATGCGAAGCGAATGGGTTTGCAGCTGCAGTAGCGTGCCACTTTTGCCGGTCACATAGCTCAGGGACAGTTTTGTACGGTAGTGGTACCCCAATGCTGCCTCCAACTCGTCCCGCATTGTCCCCAAGATGCAGCGCTTGTGTCGATATCAAGATACTGCCGCGAAACACGCACTAAGCGGTAAAGAACAACCAGAAGTGGATGACGGAAACAAGTGGCGCGTTCGGTTGCGCTTAGGCGTGCGACTAGCCGTGCGGCAGCGCATTCGGATTTGAGAGGCGTCACTTTGGCATCAGTACCTTCTGGCCCCGTTTCCCGTGCACTTCCGACCAGAGAAAATGGCACGCTACTACAGTTGCGGGCTCATTGACAAGCATCCGAGTCAACCTGTGCTTTACCCTCTCATGTTCATTCATGTTTAGATTTTTCGATTCTGTTTTCGTGACTGACTACTCTTTTTGTCTTTTCAGATCGAATTTTTCAAAAACGGCAAATCGTGCGGTGTGGCGTTCACTGATATTTATCGAGGATTCTATCATCCTGCAGTATCATTGTTCAAGAGTGAGTCTTTATTGGTCTGATCAAATGTCAGTCTAGGGCAGATGTCGGTATGCGATCTAGCCATGAAAGACATTGTACGATCACCTCCGAGGTTGCTGATCCTTGCCGTATGCTAAAAGAACGGGTTAGCGGCCATAGATGTGTGACACTTCTGTCACCCGTAATAAGGCTGGTGGGTAGTGATAGATCGGTGCTGTTCTGGGCTGTGCTCGCACTGCAGCGCAGCCAGCCACACGCCTAATCATGGCCGAACGCGCTTTTTGACGGGGGAGATGGGCAAGAGAATCTTAAATTGCCGCTTCGTCGCGCGCGGCGACGGGCGCGAAGTCTCCTTTGCACTACTCTTTCGATTGGAGCATCAGGATTTCATGTAGACAAGGAAATAGGAGACACTTATGGTATTTTGGTCATACATGTTTATTCTCGACCAATACCATCTAAAATCGTCGTCATAGGCGGGCGCGACACGCGACGCCCACTGGCGCAGCGAATTACGATTCTCTTGCCACATACCCATTTGACTGGCGTGCTCTTACTTTGGCTTGTTGTCTACCTGTGACTGTATATTCGTTGGTGAGTCTCGGAAACGGCGCTACCGCGGGGCTCTAAGAATAGCGCGGGCAGAACAAGCGCAACAAGAACTGCATTCGAGAAGTGAGTGTGCAGTTTGTCTTCAGACTTAACTTCTAAATAAATAACCTTCGAGTTTTCAACTTATAATTTCTAATGAACACGTCCTCAGATGCCACAGTGCGATGCAATTTCGGACCGAGGCTCCATCACCTGCCACCAGGAGCGCTGCCCATGTGTGCCAGAGTGGAACAGCTCAATGTGGAGCAAACATTAAGTGATATCATATTTCTTGTTTCAAATGGGCATGTGTAATTTACTCAACGATCTCAACTGCTCAAAACGTTTTGCACACTTTTTCTAGTTTTTGTTGTACATATGTAGATTGCTAATTTATCATGATTGTTTTCCGTTTGGCAAATAAAAATTACTTTCTTCCAGTTTGGTGGCTGAACTGTAATTTTTTCATGAATACTGACTGATAATTGATAAAAATTGCAAGTAGTTTTTTTGCTTCGCAATTTTTAGTTCAGTGTATGCAGTCTGCTCTACGTGGTCTGACCGGGAAAATGATAAAAGTGATTCCAATTAGAGCTCTAGAGGACAATTATATGTATTTGGTGTACAGCGAGAAAGATTCAAAGGGTTTCGCTGTGGATCCGGTCGAACCGCAAAAAGTCAAGGAAGTCGCCGAAAACTGCAAGGTAATCGCGCCTTTTTTAGAAGCTTTTGGTCGCTTTTTGATTAGAGGAGATCTTGTTAACTCATAGAAATCTTAAAACAAGATGTGGGTCCTTAAATATTCGACTCTTCTTGAATTCTCATTTGTATTATGGCACGTCTTACCCTGGGGATCCCGAAAGAGGGAAAATGTTTTGGTTGTTGATTTTTCTCCCGTTTCACCCTCCCCTGTTCTACCACATCTTTCCGGCTTTTTCTCGCTCGACTGCAGTTTCCAAGGGGTAAAGGAAGAAAATTTGGTAATGCTTAGGTTAGATGGTGGGGAGTGGGAAAATTCAGGGACATGGAAGGTGGGATGGAATTTGGCAGAGTGTCGCGCCAGAGGTAGAAACACGGGGGGGGGGGGTCGTTCTCTGCCAAAATTCACGCCAACTGCAGAAGGTGTCCTAAATTGGTCGTCCACCTTGGTTTTTTTGTATGCATCTGTGTCCTCCAGCTACATGTAGTAAAGGATTACTACTCTGTATGACATCGGGAACAATCCCGTTATGAAAGTGAATCTCCGAGCAAAGGATTATTACTTATGAAATATTCGGCATTTAACAGACCAGATGCGGATGGTTGATCCTCTCCTTTTGCCAGGTTTTTGACAGCTCCGGAAATCACTGATGGGATATTCTGATAGACTGATGTAGTGTAGTGGGGCAGAAAAGATAGATCAT